ACTAAATTTCCAGAACTCTTGGATAAATTATTTCTGTACTTTCCATATCCTAAAGAAAAAAGGAACGAGCACCCTGCATAGGAATTACTATTTCATACCCTTGAAAAGAACCAGCTCTATTTTAGTTTTTTTGTTGAAGCATACCAATTGGTTGGAGACTTCTCAAAGGGTTCCTAATTTTGATCACCTGTACTGTACATTATCTCCAGAATTAAAGACAACATGCCTTAAATACCAATCGCTAGGAAGCAACAGTAGAAGAGGCCTATCATGTCCAGCTTGTGAGCTCCTTGGATGCATCTAACTGACCACTGTGTGATACAATGTGCTATATATGTAATATTTTTCTGTTTTCCAACATTACGGTATCTCAGCTTGGACTATCAGTTCTTTTGAATAGCCAGTTTTAAGGCCTGGTCTACACACTCAGTATGACTAAGTGATAGAATGGAATATGTTCAGACTAAAGATGAAGGAACATACTTTTAATGGAACTTTAATAACTATAGAGAAATTATATTTATATGTTTGCGTGTATACACACACAAACCACACACACTAGCATAGCAGATGTTGTACAGCTTTCCCTCATTGTATAAATAGTTGATGGGTTGGTTTTTAATGCAAAATGCTCAAAAGTGGCATCTCTACTGAAAAGTACAGTACAGTCTAACATCTCGTAAGCTTTCTAAGCCTCCTCACTAAGGCTGCTGGAAGACCACACTCGGGCAATGCAATAGCTTGACTTACTTGTTTCCTGTCACTGAGTTAACAATTGCTCAAGGAGGAATGTGGGAACCATCTCCATTCCCCTCTCTCACACTGCTATATCCTCTGCCCCCCCCCACCTCATTATCCGTGCACTGCATTATTTAGAATACCGTTTGAGGATTAAGCATATGAGGCCCAATGACAGAAAGAACTCAGTTGTTTTTTGTTTTATATTTACTCCCCACTTTTCTATAGGAAGGAAAAAGGAGAGAGATTTCTTAACTGCTCCAGCTTTCCTTACTAAATAGCTAGCTTTTTGTAGCTGAAAGAAAGAATGAAAAGTGGAAATTATTACATTTTAGAAGAGAGCTCAAAATGTATTTATTTATCCAGGCCTTTTAATTGTTTCAATTGTTTTAATGATTAAATGTTTAATTCTTTTAAGTGTATGGTTTTAATAATGTTTAAAGGCTTGTTTTAATTGTATTCTTGTTGTTCTAAGTGTATTTCTATCAGCCACCTTAGGCCATTAAGTTTGGCAATATATAAATGTTCTAATTAAAATTAACAATAAATAAGAGTGGCTATAGTTCTGGGGTGTTGCACAATTTAACTTTTCCAGTCCAATCAGAAAGAATGATAAGATTAGAGTTGGTATCCTATCTGTGATAAGAACTCTCCTCTTTCCCTAATCCTAACTGACTGAAAGAGAGGAACTTACTTTTTGGATGCTCTCCATAAAAGTACATAGTTTCCATCATTTGCATACAACTTTGCAAATGATTGCAATTGGCTTAGGCAAATATAACAATAAAACGGTCATGCACAATTTGTATGAACTAAGTTGCAACTTAGTTTTTTGCACTGAGCACAACTAACCCTAAGATTACAGAAATGAAAACGACAAAGTATGTTGTAGAAAATGCTGAACAAACCGAACATGATGGGGCAAGGACTAGAAAATAAATGATTTCTCTGAGGAGGAAGAAAATACAGATGGCTTTAAGTGTGCAGAGGTAGACAAGGATTCGTAAGTGAAATTAACAGTCCAGGAAGTATAAATCAACCCACAAGAAATACAGAACGGGGGATAGTGTCCCCTATTTTTTGTCCAATGCAAATCCACTTCTCTGAAGGGAGGCAGTTTTCTGCCTTGGCAATGAATGAAGCCCAGCAGACTCCTGTCAATCTCATTTATTAAAGAAGATTTGGTATCCCTAGATGCTTGAGGGATCTGTTGGTCACATGTGTATCTTCATGACAGTGAAAAGATGAACACTCATTGCTTTAGGTCAGTGATATGCTTCATGTCAACACATGTCTTCTCCAAGCACATCTCACTTTTTGTTCTGTATCCTTGACGCTCTCTCTTTCCACGTAGCAGATGCTTTTATTTTAAGAACATGTCCAACGTGTGGCCTAAACAGACCTCTCCCCTATTGAGCTAAGGAAAGAAATGGTGCATTTCTTGGAGCGAGAGTGTAGGGCACGGTCATGCACAATTTGTATGAACTGAGTTGCAACTTAGCTTATTGCACTGAGCACAACTAACCCTAAGATTACAGAAATGAAAACGACAAAGTACATTGTAGAAAATGCTGAACAAACCAAACATGATGGGGCAAGTACTAGAAAATAAATGATTTCTCTGAGGAGGAAGAAAATACAAATGGCTTCAAGTGTGCAGAGGCACACTTGGAGCGAGGGGTAGGATAGGGAGACCAGTGTAGCATGTGCAGTCGAAGCCTAATTGATCTCCTATTTATGTTCAAGGAGAGTTTATTCTCCATCCAATGGTCTGCAGTAAATCTATACAAAGCACTCCAAGGATGCTTCCCATGATGTGGGAAGCCCTCAAAAGGCTAAGCTGAACTCTCAAGAGAGGACAGGGCTATGACACTTTAAGCAATGAATTCAAAGCAGCTCTTAACTAAGTTCTCCTAATATTTTGTTCAGCCCTACTCTGCACCACTGAAATGATGCTTTATTTGAATGGTGTTACTACTCATAGGGAAAAGCAGAAAAAATAGAAGCAACGTGGGATTAAGCCCTATACAAGGGATTTGCCCTGGTACACATACAATTTCATTCACGGTATTCTGTTATGGGAATCTATCTGATTTTTTCTTTACTGTTTTGTCCTCATAGAACTGACTTCTATGAGGACAAGCAGAATTTATTATGAATGGAATCCATTTGCAGAAACTGGTTTGTTACCTTTTTTCCCTATTCTCACATTTCATCTTAGACAAGAGATACTTGTCTAAGTACTTTATGGGGAGGATATGGGCAGCCCTTATTTGCCATATATTTCAATAACACATTTCACTGTTGCAGTTATAAAGCTCTACAGCTCTAAATGATTGCATGACTTCTTTAAAATTATCTGTAAAAATGGTCTATGTCTCTATGCACATGAGGGTATGTATCTCTGCAGTCACACAAGCAGGAAAACAAAATACAAATAACAGCAGTTGCTATGAGGAGAGAGAGCATATAACCATTCTTTCCTAAATGGAATATAATAATCAGTGTTTCTCAACAGGTGCTTCTGAAGGTCTTTCCTCCTCCTCTCCCTTTCTTTTGCCTTGCCCAAGGAAACAGAGTTAAATCAGTATTGTATTCCTCCCAGTCCTATTTTTCCCTTGAACTTTATAATGACTTTCCATGCATCTTTTCTTCTTCCATTTTCCTGGTTCAAAAAATTACTAATAGCAACACATGCCCAATCATAAGTTAATCACACGGATTTCAATGAATGATTACTCTCAAATAAGCTCACATTTCTAACAGGATATATCAAAGAATCCTGCCTGGGATCTTGGAAAATCTAGCACCTCTCTGAGTAATTAATGCTGTATTAAATCAGGCTGACTGATGGGTGCTGCTTTCATGACAGCCTTGTGGGGGATTTTTGAAATACAATCATCTATCCAGAGTCAGGCTGGTTAGAAATTTACAGAACTGTCAACCCTTCATACCAGCTTGCATGACTTCTGTGTGCAGCCAAATGAGACAGATGTAAATTCCAAAAATTTATTGCAAAAAGATGACAGAAGCCAAACCAGCTAAAGAAAGCCTATAAACCACATCCATTTAAAAATCAACTTTTGATTCACCATCAGACAAGCATAAGAGATAATTTTAAAAATGGGAAATGGAAGTATACCAGATACCAGCTTCTATATTTCTCACCATGGAATCTACAAACTGCAGTTACAGAAAAGGACAGAAAAGGAATGTAACTTTTGCAAATATGAAATGGGTGTACCAAAGTGGACAAACTCTCAAGTCATT